CTGTTGACATCAGCGGCAACCCGAAGTACTTGAAGATGTCGCCCAAATGCAGACCATCGCCAATACAAGGTATGTGCCCGCACATCATCATCATCATCATCCTTCGCCCTTCCCTGACTYTACAYCCACGTCTTCCTCCCTTACACCCGAAGACCACTCATGCGCCTCAMTGTAGTCCAAGCCCACCAGCTATGGTGGCTGGGCTATGGCGCTGCCCTCAGCAGCGCCCTGCTTCCCTGCACGACCGCACGTGCTGCACCTCGCCTCTTAGCGCTAGCAGCAGCCCACGAGCAATTGCTCCAGCAGCGCTGCCGCCAGCATGTGAGTGCCTGAATGAGGCTGCCTGGGGAGAGCTCTTTCCTTTATGGAAAGAGCTGGCCTGCTCGCGCAGCCTGGCTGGCCTGGCCTGGGCCCAGCAGCTTCCGGAAGGCCCCAGAATGCTGCCTTTGCGCTGCAGCTACTGGGCCTCGTTCGGTTGGGCCTCCCAACTGTCAGTGTATGAGGCTGCGAATCACGCCCAGGGCCTGCATCCTTTGGAAAGGCCCGGTAGACCGTGGAAATGTCTTTGTTGCTCGGCCTGCGTTTTTCTCAACCAACTGGCGCGTCGCAACTGCCTGTACCCCAAATATGAAATTGACAGTCAAAGGCCTCTTGTGAAATATTAGGCCCGCCTTCACTTAGGGCGGGCACCACTGTAACCGGGACCCCTTAGGCCTGCCGAGGACCCAGATCCTCGCATTCCCTCCTCCTTTACTTCGTTAGTCCTCTGAGAAGTCTCTTATTCTGCAGGCATCTTCCCTTTCCGTTCTCATTCATAGCCTGCAATCACTTGAGGTGCTGTTCTCAGGAGTTCTTCTCGTGTGAACCAGCGATCTTCCTTGGGATCGAGATGATGTCTGAAGCTCACACGATACTGCATTCTCAGGGCGCCCTCTGCCTGATGGTCGAGGAACAGGCATCATTCGATGCTCCACGATCTGATCGATGTCCACCTCGCCATCCATGGTTGGGGGCAGCATTGATCTTCTTGAAGGAAACTGCTCTGTAGCAGTGAAAGGTGCCAACTTGGAAGCATGGAAAACAGGGTATGTACGTAAGTGAGGTGGGATGCGGATCACATAGGAGGGTCAACGTATCTGATCCCCAATCACATCTAGAACCTCCCATGGGCCGAAGTACTGTGGCATCAATTTACGGGATATACCCAGCTCTTGGCCGAGTTCAGATGATTTGATCCAGACTCTATCACCTACCTGAAAGTTAGAGGGCCGTCTATGTTTATTCTCAGATGCAATCATAGCTTCTTGAGATCTCTTAATATGTTCAACGGCTGCTGCAGCATCTGTTCATAGTTGACAGCAAACTCTATGCTGCCGGGTGCTGCAGTAGGTTCTCTTTCTGGTAGCAGAAAGTCAAGGGCAGTTTGGGGCTTCCAACCAAGATGCAGTTGGTTGGAAGACATACCTGTAGTACTATGCACACCATTATTGTACAGGCTGGCGCCGAGTGGTAATTTCTTGTCCCAATAGTCCTGACTTGGCTTGATATAATGCCTAAGCAAGTGTTGTACTACTCGGTTCATCTGTTCTGCTTGGCCATTCGACTCAGGGTGATTCCCTGATGTCATTTGGAGCTTTGTCCCCATTTGCTCAGCAGTCGTTTGCCACAGCTCACTTGTGAATCTCACATCTCTGTCACTAACTATAGATGTCGGTAGACCGAAATCCCTTACCCAGTTATCCATGAAGAGTTTGTTGACATAGTCAGTTTTAGCACTTTCAGGCATAGCGATCAGTTTGGCATTCTTAGAAAAGTGATCCACTATACCGAAGATGTGTCTCTTTCTAGACCTGCTGGTCACAATGGTATCCATAAAATCCATAGACACACTCTGACCTGGTCCTTCAGGAATCGGCAAGGGCTTGATCAGCCCAAGCGGGGCCTGAGTCCTTGGTTTGTCCCTTCGGCAAACCTGGCAGGTTTCAACATAGCGTTTTGCATCTAGCATCATAGAGGGCCACCAGNGCCCAAGCGGGGCCTGAGTCCTTGGTTTGTCCCTTCGGCAAACCTGGCAGGTTTCAACATAGCGTTTTGCATCTAGCATCATAGAGGGCCACCAGAATCTTTGTACTAAGTTCGCTGATGTTTTCTTGTATCCAAAATAACCTGTTGCATCATGGCATTCTCCTAAAAATAAACTACGCAAAGACTCACTACTGGGAACACACAAACTTTTATTCCCTGCCTTCTCAAGAAACAGCAAGTCGTCTACCATCGTAAATTCGTCCAAAGTCTTTTTGTCCTTTGCTTGGAATCTACGGATGATCTCAGACATAACTGGATCTTGCTGATAAGATTCCACCAATGATCGAGTTCGATCGCTAGATATGCCAAATTCCGTAACTAACGCGCCCAGATAATCTGCCCCACGAGATAACGCATCAGCCACTTTGTTGTATTCTCCCTTGATTGGATCAAGTCGATAGTCATACATGTCTATCACTTGAAACCATCGCTCGAGTGCGTCAGAGAGTACTGGCTGTGTCTTAATCCACCGCAAGGTCTCATGGTCAGATCTCACATATGTTACGATCCTGGCCAATTTCGGAGTATACATTCATCTGAAAGTACAATGCCATCCAATTGCAAAAAGAAATGTGTGAACTTGAGAGGAGAGAGAGGGAAAGAAGAAGAAGAAGACGTAAGAAAGAAGCCGAAGATGATGTACTCCAGCATAGACCAATGACAAGGCTCTTCTTCTTCGCCAACCAATCTCTTCCTCCTTATCTCATCCCCTCTTATTTAAACAAGAAATAACAATAATAATGTTGAATGACTGAACCAGAATCAATGTATGAATCCCACTTCTACTGCAGGCACAACAGGAGGTCCACCATAGCCATGGCCACCCTTCCTCTTCCTCTACATGCAGGCCGAGGCTATGACGGACTACTGAGGCTTCAGCCTCCTGTCCAAAGGACAACCCAAAGCAGCTATGCCGCTGCCCACTTCAAGGTCATCACCATGCAACTATGCCGCTGCCCACTCAGCCACCATGCCTGACTCTGTCTCGAGCTTCCTTGATGCGGCACTACCCCCACTGGGGCCTTCCTGATGCAGCGCCTAGCAAGGTGATGAAGATGGTGTCTACCATAGCCAGGTAAGT